CCCCATAAGCAAGGGTCAAGCAGTGGGTAGACCTCACCATAGAGGACACGTCAGCAACAATTTCACTGTTTATTTCTACAGATTTGCCGGCAGCACCCATTTCAATTAGTACGAACTGAATGTTTGCATCGCCATATCAATGGCCGCAACTAGCTGGCTAAGGGGCACCTAGAGACTGCACATTTTTATTACGCTTACTTGTCTCTAAGGCCGGTGAAATGAAACACGGTCCTTTGGCTTTGGTCGACGAAACTCTTCCCATAGTTGTTATTGCTACTCGTGATGTTTGTTTCAGGTTTAATACTAATTCCTCGTAATTAAATATTTTTCGTTTAAAATAATTAAATTTTCTTTAAATGATTAGTTTTTTTTTTTTTTTTTTTTGAACAACAAGCAACAATCGGTGATTCAGCAGCTTCACGCTCGAAAAGGTCGACTAATAGTGATGTGTACTAAAGACGACGCTGAATCTGTTTGCGTCGGCGGATCATACCGTGTAATTGAAGTTCCGCAAGTTGAGGATTGCCTACAGCCTGTTATTAACATATTTCATTTGCAGGTAAAAACAGTTATTTTCGATTCTTTGGCCGGGGGTAGTTTGGTAATTTTACTTCGTAGTGTAAAATTGGTTAATTGTTTTCTTTCTGAGTGCAGCTTTTGGCGTACCATCTGACAGTTCTACGAGGATACAACGTTGACCAGCCTCGAAATCTTGCAAAAAGTGCGACAATTCAATGAGGAACGAAAGAAAGATGCGCGCATGTAATCTTTTTCAGCTGTTCGATATGTCGGAATTTTTTATTCTAATTTTTTTTCCTTATTTTTCGGGGGAAGAGAGTTTTTTAGGGGTGTAAATGGCTGTCTTTCTACTGAACTTTGGTTGCACAAATAGATACACTAATCTTTTTAGACATATGAGATTACTAATTGCTGTGAAGTAACATTGTCTGGAAACTATAATTGGTTATATGTGTGTATTGTCTTGTCTTCTACCCTCCCTTTCTAAAAAATCTTGTTGGGATATTTACGATTTTACTTAATAGATGAAATATAAGATCCGACGAGTTAAACATTTTGAGATATTTCATAGAAGAATGAATATTTAATGATAAAAAAAAACAAAAAAAAAAAAAAAAAACATGCACTAATAATTATTAATCCACATGTATTAATAACCAAATCAAATTATTTGAAGGATAAATTCTCGACATAATTAGTTTTACTGGTAATGGTTCATTTGTTAGCTTTGGGTAATTCTAATTAATGCTATATGTGTACGCATGAAGTGTAACATCCATAACACATACATTTGTTCATATACATGTATTAATTCATTAATATTAATAATAAATTAATTACTTTAAATTGTTATTCATCAATTACCCTTGGGAATTTGATCTCTTCAAGAATAGTTTTATCTCTATAAAAAATGAAAGAAACTACAATAGAATTCCTCCTATAGATAAAGAAAGAATAGTTAACTTTCCATAAAATTCACCCTTTTTTAAAATATAAAAATAATAAAAATGATAAAATAAATAATAAGTATAGAATGTTGCAACCATTAGCCATCTAAGTCTTTAAACCTCCACATTATGAACTTTGTTTTGGGAGGGGTACCACACTATGAACTACTTTACCTCTGTAGAACAGTAACATACTATGAACTTTTTTTCTTTGGAGCGATACCACCCTATGAACTTTATAACATGTAGTTACATGAATTACATTACTTCTAATTAATGCTACATGAGCATGCATGAAGTGTAACATCCGTAGCACATACAATTATTAATATACACTAATTCATTTATACTAATTCAACACCAATAATAAATTAATTACTTTAAGTTAATATTCATCAACTTTCCTTGGAAATTTGATCTCTTCAAGAATATTTTTGTCTCTATAAAAATGAAAGAACCACCATATGATTCGATAGTATAGATATAGATATAGATATTTAGTTTCAAGTTCATTTATTTCCCTTCAAGTAGCTTTCTTTTTTTCATTTGTAACACCATGATTATAACATGGCACACATGGCAGCGGCATATCCTGATTTAGCTCTCGTTGATCAACAATTTATTAGAAGTATGTTTTTCATTGTATTTACTAAATGCAATATACTCATTTTCATACTCTATTTTTTTTTCTTTTTTTTTTTTCTAAATAAATTTGAATAACATACGAATTTTTTGTTTCTTTTGTAGGTTCTAAAGTTACCGAAATGTTGTGGACCGAATAGATAAGTTAGAAAAGGACAGGGCCGCAATAATGAAAGAAGAAACAGATCTTAGGAAAGAGTTAAGTGATGCTATTAGTACGAACCCAAATGTTTGCATCGCTATATCAATGGCTGCCACTAGTCTGGCTAAGGGGCACCTAGAGACTGCACATTTTTATTACGCATACTTGTCTCTAATGTCTCTAGCCAAACTTTTAAATTTCTTAGAAACGGCGGTTTACAAGCAACTTGATCACCGATGGAATGAAAAATAGAGTGAGAGCTATTAATCGTAGGAAGTTGCTTTTGGAAGATATGAAGAGAATTACTAAGTTTGAGTTACTACCACTATTTTCTCATCAAAAAAAAGAGTTACTACCACTAGGCACGAGGAACTATTGTATAATAGCAATTATTTGGACATGGTAAATCATACCATTTCTACTCTAGACAAACAGGAGCATAGGAAATTGGATAAGTGGTACTTGTCATCTTACATGCCTCAGATTATCTTCATTATCTCCACTGCGGCTCTTGTCTGTTTGGCATTTTCGTAGTTTTAAATTACAACTTGTGCTTTAATTTACTACTTGTTCTGACAAATTGGATTCTCATTTTTTGTGTCACATGCCCGACAAAAATTGCTTTGGCTCCGGCTCCGGCTCCGGCTCAGGCTCTGAGTGGAAGACTATGATGGTCTTTAGAACTATATAACTATTGTTAGGTTTCTGGAAATTTTACTTATATATGAAATCTATTAATACTTTCTTCTACTGTTCTCTAAACTCTTGTAGATTTATTTATTCTTGTTTACAATATTAGTCTTATTAATTGTTACATACCTGCTATAATAGTAGTTAACTTTTAGTTTATACTTTTCAGAGTTTGCTGCAATAAATTTAAATTTAAATTTACCTCATATATATTGGACTATTGGTGATAACATAAAAAATTTACCTCATATATATTGGACTATTGGTGATACATAAAAAATTGTAGTTAGTATTTTTGATCTATTTTAGAAGATATATTGTTGGGTGTATTTCCGAAGAGATGTTTTGGAGTTCCGAAATTATCATTTCGAAGGTATGAAATTTTGTGATCTTTGAAAATCGGTACCTAATGCAATTAATTTTTTTATAGTTTCTATTATGCCCCATGTAATAATAAGTTATTATATAATGTCTACATATTAATGTATTAAATCGTCAGTGAATTATTCGATCAAAAGACATTAGGTACATACTCTAATAACTTATGATCATATTAATGAAACATATGAAGTTATGAACAACCGTGTAATTCAATTGAACAAGTTTATCATTCCATAGCAATTTTCAAAAGATTAAAAATCAAATGTTAACCTTTCATAAAAATAAATAGCGTTTTAGTAATTTTTATTTTATATTTCTTTTTAGGTAAATATCATCATCTTTAATTTCTTATTTCTTTGTTACCTTCGACTCTTGAAAATAATTTTATCTTTATCAATTTTTAACGACACTAAATACGAATATTTTATGGTTTTTCTATTAAATTATTACGTATTACCTATTATATACTTTATAGTATATTATAATAAAATAATAATAATTAACCGCGTAAAAAAATTGTTTAACATAATTTGGATGATAATTTAGTACCAATTAGTTTGTTTACATATTTTTTGTTTCATTATATATTTCCATTGGGAACAAGTTCTCCGTAACATTTACCTTGTAAAAGTCAATTATATATAATTCATTTTCTCATTGCCCTAAACGAAAAATGATAAAACTAATGAACAAAAAGTTGCACAGTTGACGAAATCTAAGAATAATTATCTTAATTAACATTACTTTATAATGATTTTAATTGTTTAGATTTTTACTAAATATTTTTCACATAGCTTGTAAAGTGTTAATTTTATTCAATAATGCTTTTGATAATGTGTAAACATTTCTTCCCAAATCATATGAACCACTTCCCAAATCATATGAACCACGTGCAATGCATGTGTCATTTACTAATTTTATTAAAATGAGTGTTTTTATTTTCGAAATTTTATGTAGGTTTTCCGAAAATTTCTGGAAGTTTTTGAAAATTGTAAAAACTAATTATGATTCTTGAAATTCCAAAATATTTGACATTTTTGGAATCGGAATTAATTTCTAGATTCTGAAAATTTTGGAATTATAATCAATGTTGTACTTCCCAAAAATGGAAATATCCCGACAATTAATTTGATCATTTCCGTTCGACCTTCACCCCTAATTCCGATAGATGTATTTATATCTTTTTCATATGCTTTCGTACAAGTAAAAAAAAAACATCAACAACTATTAAAAAAAATTAATTCACTACGAGCAATATTTGCATTTAATATATGTTAATTTTGTCATCCTAATTTTATCCATAATATTATCTTCCTATTCCGGCTTTTACTTTTCTTCATTGTGCTACTATTTTGGTTTTTAACATGTCGTAGACATTTGTTAACTTTATGGCTTCTTATCAATAAATAGGCCAAACAAAAAACTCATCTACCCAAAATGATTAGGCAATATTTTCTTTTGCCTAAAGTCTATCAAATAAAAAAAATACCCCTCAAACTCTAATTTACTACAATAACACCCCTCAAACCCTCATTTAACCTCAACTTACTCATTTAACAAAGTTTGACCAATGACACCAATTTTGGATTCAAATTTTGACCGCCGCCGCCATTGTCGACATCGTTGAATTTTTTAATTTGTTATTTTTTTTAATAATCTACATTTACAATCTAAATTAATAATTGTGCATAGTTTTATTAATTTTATAATTTTTTAACATATAAAAAAGTACGTAAGTGTATTTTCTGTAGGATAAATTACGGTCACCCTTGAGGTAAGATCAAACACAAAAACTCCTCTGAGCAATTACAACCACCCCCTCAACTAAAAGATGATTCATAAAATGTCTCATCAAGAATCAAATAAAATCCAGTGTTTAATAATAATCTAAATTTTCCTATTGCTTCTACTTGCACTGTCTTGTTGCGCCCACGTAGATGTATCTCTCACCATCATTTGGCTTTCGACAATAAAGGCAATCCTGCATAGACACACTGATGTGAGTAATTGCACCAAAATATATCAACCAAGTGTGTCTAAGTACCAAAATTAAATTAACCTCACAACAAATCAAATTAAGAGGCTCACATTTCTTAGCACGCCAAGCATGATAGTTTAAGTAGTGCTTCTTTACATGCCTTTTAACTCCACAAATGAAACATCCCTTGTTCTCCGAATTGTCCAATTTCTTATCTTGTTTCTTTTGCGGCCCTGGATTTACAGTAATTGCAGCTTTAGTATCTTTCTTTCTTTTGATTCCCTTACCCTTAAAAGTAGATTCCAAATGAGCACTTTCTGAATTATCTTGCTTCACCCTATCCTCTTCCTGAACACAGTGTAAGATGAGCTCATTCAGAGACCAAGTATCCTTCTGACAATTATAGCTCACCTTAAATTGGTTAAACCGAGAAGGAAGAGATATTAGAACCAAATGCACAAGCAATTCCTCCGAGAGTTCAAGCTTAAGTGCCCTTAATTTTGAAGCAAGATGAGAAATTTCAACAATGTACTCCCCGACATTACCTTGACCGGTATACCTCATTGAAATGAGATTTGTCAAGAGTGCACCAATTTCAGAATTTCTATTCTTGACAAACGTTTTTTCAATATCAACAAGGAAACCTTTAGCTGTAGTAATACTGTCAGAAATAGTGTCCCTGAATGCTTCTCGAGTGGTCTTCTTCATTATCATCAAACACATGCGATTTGATTTCTTCCACCTTTTCATATCCCTTTTATCATCCGGGGTGCTTCTATCCGTAAGAGGTGGAGGAGAATCAACCCTTAACGCAAGGTCAAGGTCATGGACTCCGAGAACAATAAGAAGATTCTCTTTCCATGACTTAAAATTAGAACCATTCAGCGTAGGTATTGAATTGATGTTGGCGGTAATTTTGGCATGAGAACTCATGGCTGAATTCATAAAACAAGCTCACATTAGAAAACAAAATAATAACAATAATAATAGATTCAAATAGACGTAAACCCCATCATAGGATATCGGGCATTCCATCGATACTTTGAATTTGGACAATAATATTAATGAGCAAGCAATAACCTAGCAAAATAATCGAACACTGACAATAAGAGTATATCAAATAATAATTCTACCTTATGGCCAAATTACTATTTCTATGCAAGGAAACCAAATAATCATCACACGTTCATCACCACAAGTGCACGTGTATATAATTATATGAAATATTGTCCTTCCTTAGGACCTCGATACAACATCCACGTAATTGTACGTGCAAAACCTATTGTATTTCAAAATAAATTAATATTGAAATACATATACCAATCCAATATTTGAATTTAAAATTATTCCAAAAATTACGACTTTATTTCCTTTTCGACCTTAAATTAAGTCCATATACATTCAAGATTTACGAGCCAAAAATTATACAGGTGCTGTAATTTCCAGAAATAAACTTTTTTTTTTGGTGAAACGGAGACTGAAGTTTTGAAAAATTACAGATTGACTCCCGAATTTTTGCAATAACCGAATAGAAGTTTTTTAGAATGTTCAATTCAGTCCCCAAAAAAACACTTCCAGAAATCAATAAAAACTACATAAATTATACTTTGATCAGGGGCAATATGGACTTACAGAAATCAAGAAGAACGTGTTTGTCAATGGCAACACGATTATCCGCGGGTTTCTTGCCGGGGCTTTCGATATCGAATTTGGCAAGGGTTTTGCGGGCATCCTGCTCGACGCGAAAGTCCTCGTCGGAGAAATCGAACGCCGAGAATTTGTCGCTATTGCTGCTTGTGGTATTATTACAGTCACCGCCGCTGGAATTTTTGCCCTTGCCATTTCTTCTCTTTCCCATAGGTATCGGTGAAATTTGATTATGGAATGTTTTAGGGGGAAAAAACGAATGCTTTATAGGGGGAACTTATTTGGGGTTATTACATTTGAACCCCCCTAAATATAATTATTTACTCTAATTGTCCCAACAAAAAAAACATTTATGTGTTATTTATTTTTTTAATTTTTACCAATAAAACTTTTCTAAAAGTTTCATTTAAAAAAAATAAATCAAACTATCCTCATTATTTCAAGAATTATGTGGTGAGAAAATACATCATGTGATATTTCCAATATTAATTACATACAGAGTGTTTTTAGCAACTTCGTGTGTAACTCAATTAAGGTTCGTTTGAGCTCGATTCAATTGTTTATCGAACCTAACATACCGCAACTTTCAAAACTCGATAAAAGTATAATAAATAAATAATTGAAGAAACATGCGTTCGACTCGATTCACATCCGGTCTTCATTGGACAGTTACATTAAAATATCTTCTTTTTTTTCTCAGAAAAAAAAAAATCAGAATCAATAATTGAGAATAAGGGGCCAGGCTGTAAATTGCAACCAAATGTTTGCCAAATGAAGAACGTTGACTTGAATTCCACTACTTGTCAAACAATATGCTGAAAGAAGCCATTTTTGTTAAAAGGGAAGCTAAGGAATAGAATCTAGCAAAGAAAGCCTAAAGCTCAGCTTCCTTAAATTTTGTAAGTAATTATCAAATTGTTTTTGTAACTATGATGCTGCTACACAAGTCTATATATATATATTGTTTCAATTGTTTTTTTTTTCTCTTAATTTCTTGTAGTTCTAGATTACGCTGCCGATTCTGAGTCGGAACTCGGAATCCCACTCGTGGTACTGACTCAGTAGATGGAGGAGAAAGAAAACCTCTTTTTCATTTCCTTTTTTAATGAATAGTTGTGGTTGTTCACTCTTCATTACTTGTGTTTGATTTCCGGGTTTTCTGCTTGAACATTATATTCTTCTTCCACCTGGTTTTTGGCCTTTTGAAGAGCAAAGTACTTTGAAAATTTTCGATTTCGTCGTCTGATTGATGTAATTCAATTGGCATTAATCTGTGGGAAAAAAAGAAGAGATGTTTATAATCCATATATAGTTAAACTTCTATAAATTAATACAATCGGGACCAACTAAATTCTATTAATTTAGCGAAATATTAAATTATCAAACTAATAATTTAGCACGTTTCTACCAAATCGGGGCCGGAATTTTTTTATTATTTAAGCGAGGTTATTAATTTATCGAGGTTCTGTAGAATTGCCATACTATACTGTAGAATTGCCATACTATGTTGTAGAATTGCCATACTATATATATATATATGAGAACGGAGCCTAGCTCAGCTCTTGATATTTAAATTGCATTGATGTTAGGTTATCTTGTTTACGATACAATATCCGGCTGTTGATAGTTACAACTTGTAAACAACTCATCAATTAAATTCTGTATTCTTGCAATTTCAGTTCAATTCTCGTTCACTAGTTGAATTTTTTTTAAATATTTTTTTATTTCTATTTTGTGGATGAAATGTTTTCTTGATTCTTTGAATCTCTCTACCTGTTGCCGCAGAGGAGAAACGGGATCAAAATGCCTGTGGGGGAGCTCTTTCTATCTGCATTCATTCAAGTACTATTCCAGCAATTAGCCACAACCGCAACAAAAGCATTAGCCCGTCGCGAAAAAGTCGAAAGCCATTTCAAGAAGTTAAGCCAAAACCTATCGGTTATCCAGGCAGTGCTCGATGACGCAGAGGAGAAGCAATTAATGGAGAACTCTGTAAAAGTGTGGCTCGAGAATCTCAGAGACTTAGCCTACGATTTGGACGACATGTTGGATTACATCATCACCCGATCTTTAATTCAAGATTCCAAAGGAGTCCAGCAAAATAGAACCAGCAGGGTGTGGAAATTCATCCCTACTTGCAGCGGTTACACGCCCGGTGCACTCGTGTCGAACTATAAAATGATGTCCAAGATTAAAGAACTCACGAGCCGATTGGAAAATGTGGCGAAGCAAAGAATCGATTTAAAATTGAGGGAGAATTTGGGGGGTTTCGACCGTCGTTTGGTGATCAGGTCTCCGAGCACTTCTTTGGTCAACGAGTCTCATGTGTATGGAAGAGACGAAGACAAAGAAGCCATAACCGAGATGCTGCTCGGTGACGTGGCACCCAATGAGGACGTTTCGGTGATTCCGATAGTTGGAATGGGCGGTATCGGAAAAACGACTCTAGCACAGCTTGTGTACAACGATAAAAACGTGAGGAAGAACTTCCACGTGTGGGCGTGGGTGTGTGTTTCCGAAGAGTTCGACGTGGTTTCCGTCACGAAAACAATTTACGAGGCGGTGACAGGTGTCAGTGGAAAGTCGAAAGACTTGGACAATCTTCAAGTGAGCCTAAAGGAGAAGTTGGCAAAGAACAAGTTCCTTATTGTATTGGACGATGTTTGGAACGAGAATTACGGAAAGTGGTACGATTTATGTCGGCCTTTTCAATTTGGGTTGACCGGGAGCAGAATTATTGTCACGACTCGTAACGAAAGCGTAGCATCTGTGGTGGGGTCCCCTCTTATAGCCTACCATATGAAATTGTTGACCGACGACGATTGTTTATCTTTATTGGCTCAACACGCTCGAAGATCATTCGAAGAGAATACGGAGTTGAAAGAAGTCGGCTTGGGTTTGGTGAAGAAGTGCAAAGGCTTGCCTTTGGCTGCTAAAACACTCGGTGGACTTTTACGCTCGAAAGAAACTAAAAACGAATGGGAAAATGTGCTAAACAGCAAAATATGGGATTTACCGGAGGAAAACGATATTCTTCCCGTTTTACGATTAAGCTACCACCATCTTCCGTCACATTTGAAGCATTTGTTTGCTTATTGCTCCATTTTTCCGAAAGATTACGAGTTTGACAAAAACGAGCTGATTCTTTTATGGATGGGCGAGGGTTTTCTCGAGCAGCCAAACACGAGGAAAAGAAAGGAGGAGTTAGGTCTCGAGTATTTCAACGAGCTCTTATCGAGATCGTTTTTCCAACGATTAAGTGGGAGCGATTCCGGTTTTGTTATGCACGATCTTATGAACGACTTGGCTCAGTTTGTTGCGGGTGGAACTTGCTACCGGCTGGACGAAAAATTGGATACTACTCAAGAGTACCAAATACCCGAAAAGGCGCGTCACGGCTCTTTTCTTCGCCACGAATACGAAGTTTTCAGAAAGTTTAAGGCCTTCTATAGAGTACGAGGTTTGAGAACTTTCTTACCGATGCCTGTCGAAAATTCGCTTGTCTGGCCGCCTTTTTACTTATCGAACAAGATTCTAGTTGAGCTTGTACCTGAATTGCAGAGCTTACGAGTGCTGTCTGTGAGCGGATATTCAATTACGGAGCTGCCTAGTTCGATATGCAACTTGATACATTTACGGTACCTTAATGTGTCAGGTACTTCGATAGTTACGTTGCCCGATTCTTTGGGCGATCTTTTCCAATTGCAAACTCTCTCATTACACAACTGCCGTTTCATATGCAAGTTGCCTCCGACAATAGGGAATCTTTCGAACTTGCGGCATCTGGATAACTCCAACACCGATCAATTGAAAGATATGCCAGTCGAAGTCGGTAATTTGAAAAACCTGCAGACGTTGCCGAAGGTTGTTTTGAGCAAAGACGGTGGATTGGGATTGAGACAGTTGCGCGATCTGAAACTCTTGCGGGGCCCGCTCGCCATTTTAGAGCTGCAAAACGTGACGGATATCGAGGATGTGAAAGAGGCGAGTTTGAGCAGTAAACAAGAACTCGATGAATTACAGCTTGCATGGGGAAGTGACATCGGTAATAATAATAATAGAATTTCGGAAAAAGATGTGATGGAGCATTTGCAGCCTCACGAAGATTTGAGAAGCCTCAAGATTGAATTTTATCGAGGATTGGATTTTCCGAGCTGGATTGGGGACCCTGGTTTTCGAAAATTATCGAGTATAAGCATAAGCAACTGTTCCGAATGCACATCTTTACCACCGTTAGGACAGCTTCCCGAGCTTAAAGAGCTCCGTGCAATAAATATGCCGAAAGTCAAACGAATCGGTAACGAGTTTTACGGGAGCAGCGTTTTAGTCCCGTTTCCAAAACTGGAAACTCTGAGATTCGATAACATGCCGCAATGGGAGAAATGGACATCTTTTGGTGATTCCATCCAAATAAAATTCCCCCATCTTAATCAGCTTTCTATTTTCAAATGCGGAAAACTAACCGACGTATCTCCTTTGTGCTTTCCCGTTCTTCGTCAGTTGGATCTCGAGGAGTGCAATAAAGTTTTATTGGAAAGTTTTTCGACTCTCGATTCCGTAAATTACTTGAAGATCGAGGGCATTACGGGAATTTCTCGTCTGCCGGAGAAACTCACGCAGTCCTTAACAGCACTCGAAGTTTTGGAGTGCTGCACCTGCAAAGAGCTGACATCGCTGTGGGCCCCGCTCGAACATCTCCCAAACCTAAGGCGCCTCGTAATTGCAGACTGCTCTCGGCTCGTCTCTTTTGGGCAAGGAGAGAAGCAGCTCCCTTGCAACCTCGAAGTTCTCGAATTATTTCGGTGCCCAAATTTTCTTTACCTACCAGACGACTTGAGCAATCTAAAATCTCTACGTGAGCTGATTATCAAGAATTGTGTTAAATTCATTGGATTTCCGTATAACGGTATTCCGTCGACACTCAAACGCCTCGAAATACTCAGCTGCAATTCACTCGAGTCTTTGCCGAATGACATTTCCGCCCTCGAAAGACTCGAGATTAAAGAATGCTCATATCTGAAGAGATTGTCGAACGGTAATAATTTCCCGACCGCCCTCAAGAAATTCGCGGTCAAGAACTGCAAACGGTTAGAGGCCGTATCGGAAAGTACGAATGTACCCCGTGACAACAGCAGCATGTTGTTGGAAGATCTTAGTCTATGCAATTGGCAGAGATTGAGTAGCTTACTCCACCAATTGGACGGGTTTTCGCACCTAGTCGAACTCAATCTATCGAGTTGCTCGGGTTTACGGCATTTCCCCGAACAAGGATTGCCTCCGAGCCTAAGAGCACTCTCGATCGAAGATTGCGCGAATTTAAAGTCGTTGCCATCAAAGATACAAACCATGAGATCGCTCGTTTCGCTGGAATTACGAAGCTGCCCCAGATTAGATAATTTCCCGGAATTCGATTTGCCGCCGAATTTGTCGTCGCTAAGGATATGGGATTCGAAGAGGTTGAAGCCGTTGAACAGGTGGGGCCTACACAGGCTGTCTTCTCTGAGGGAGTTTTCGATATGCGGTGGGTATAAAGAGATTGAGGTGCTTTGTGGTAATGACAACGATGATGACTGTATATTTCCGGGTTCGTTGATAAAATTCTCGATAGCTCGATTTCCGAAATTGGGTACGCTTTGTAAGGTTTTGGAGAATCTTGATTTGCTGAGGCATTTGTCGATTATGAACTGCGCGAAGCTTAGTGTGCTGCCTAGTGAAAGGGTGCTGGAAAAGCTGTGGCATTTGGAGATAAGTGAGTGCCCGATTTTGACGGAGCAGTGTGCGAGAGGGAAAGGGGAGTATTGGGGGAAGATAGCTGGGATTCCTTGTGTCGAGATTGATGGTACTTATGTTTATAAACAAGGTGCTGTTTGAGTTGTTCTTTCTGAAGAATTTCTAACTTGCTTTATGTACATTTGTTTCTTGTTTCTTAGTGTTTTGTGTAAGAAGAGTGTGTTCTTTTGTTTGGGCGGGATATTTCGAATTTGTAGACGGAAAATTCAAATTGAAAATAGACAACTTAGACTGATGTATTTTTGATTGCATCTATTCATGTACTGTTAAGAGCAGACACTACCTCGGCTGAAGTAGAATCGAGGAGAGATGAGCACCAAATAGAGAACCATCCTAGACAACTTCCATCAGCCGACCTAGGCAACTTCCATCAGCCGACCTCGCCAAACCACCCGAACCGCAGCCATGGTCAGCCGAAGTTAGAGAAGCATCAAAATTAATTATAACTTCATCTCTTGGAGGGGCCACCCAGCTGGAATTCAATGTTCTCGTAGAAAGACGAAGCTTATGGTGGTTGTAATTATTCAAACATGAGGATTTTTTTTTAATTTGGCCTTACCTTAAAGGGTGGTTGTAATTTATCCTAATACGAAAGAAAATCAGACTTTAAGCAAAATGTGAATATATATAAAATAGTTTGGTTTTGTGATGGAGGTTATCCTCTTGTAGACTCTTGTTCCTTTTTCATTTTAATGCGATTCTATTTATCGATAAAAAGAAAGGAAAAAAATGAACTACGAAGTTCACCATAATTCGAGATATTCGATTAAAATTGTAATAAAAAATAGGGGAAACTACAGATAAATCCCTAATCCAAAACTCAAAACACAGATCAGTCCCTAGGTAGTTTCCCCAAGCAAATCAGTCCCTATTCACGCGTCTGACATGGAGATCAGTCCCTAATGTAAATTTAATATATTTTATTATATTTTCTCTCTTCTTTTTTCACTCTCCTCATTTTCTCTCTCTTCATTTTCTCTCTCTTCATCTTATCTTTCTTTCTTCTCTTTCTTCATTTCTATCTGCTCTTTTTCTTTTCTATTTCTTCTCTCTTTCTCTCCTCTGGTTTCCTTTTTTTCCGACGAAAGAGGGTTCGCACCGATGGCTGGTAGGTCTCCATATTTTTCTGTACTGCTGAAATGCATTTCTTTATGGTTGTTAATTATTGTGATACACAGTATAAAATATGGCACGTAATAGTATCATGCTAATATAAATATGGTATGGACGTATGGTACTTACAGTGCGTAATCGTTATTCGTATAGTATGCGTGATAGGTAAATTTGGTACTGTTGGTGGGAAAACATAGTATCATATAATGGGGAAGATATATAGTACGTAACCTTCATCTGAATAGTATGGGTGATAGGTAAATCCGGTACTGTTGGTGGGAAAACATAGTATCATATAATGGGGAAGACAGTACGTAACCATTATTCGGATAGTATGGGTGATAGGTAAACTTGGTACTATTTGTGGGAAAACTTAGTATTATATAATGGAGAAGATAGTATGGAACCAGTGCATTGTTATGATATTTTCATGTACATTGTTATTTGGATTCCACTCTATTGTAATCCATTTTTTAAATTTTTGTAAACCAAAAGCGGCGATCAATCGATGGAAATCGAGGGTAATCCGCTTAGAAATTCAATTGATGCATGGAGACATTGCATCCGTGGGGAGAATCAGTTTTTTAAAGATCCTGATGATTTTAGGCATATGCTGAAAAACTATTCTATTGCTAATAATCGATCATTTAAGTACATGAAAAATGATCAACAAAAGATCATAGCATTATGCATTGACGAAAACTGCAAATGGAGGGTTTATTTAGCATTCGTAAATGCAATCTTGAGCACACTTGTGGTGATGCTACTCTTCGAGTAGCACCACTCAAATGAGTGAGTTAAAATACAAAAAAGGAAAATGCAAACGTCTTGATTGTGGGAAGAAAACAATAATCATGGTTTCAGAAACTATTTTGAATCCCGGAAGGTTATTTTACTGTTGCCCACACCATGGCTACTCCCATTGGTGTGAACCATTTGAAGTTGGGCAAACTTTTTCCAACTCAAATCGTGAAGAAAATGAAGCTACAAGTGCGTCGATGAACCAAGTCCATCAAGAAAGTGAAGTGAAGAATTGCAATTCTGAAGGTGGAGTAGTTCATAGTTTGATAGTGTTGAATCTAGTAATATTTGCAGTCTACATGCTATGTAAAACCTATGTACTGTTGTTTAATTAGTGAACATAAGAGTACAATGTATAAGCTGGTAAAGTTCGGGTTATTCGTGAATATAGTACGCTTTGTTCACCAAATAAGTACAATGTATAAGCTGGTAAAGTTCGGGTTATTCGTGAATATAGTACGCTTTGTTCACCAAATAAGTACAATGTATAAGCTGGTAAAGTTTGGGTTATTCATGAATATAGTACGCTTTGTTCATCAAGTAAGTACAATGAATACACATGTGAAGTACAAGTGATTCGTGACTATAGTACGATTTATTCACTTATAAAGTATATGTTTGCCATTCATATAGTATTGTTAAATTCTATATATTATTGTCGGGCCAATGCATCCATATGATCGCATTTTAAGACACAACTCTTCATTTTAAGACTATTAAGAATGAATGGAGACAATGTGGGAGTTGATCAATATCGATTATGGTAACAATTGAGGAAAATATTAGTTTTACACTTGAGCATTGTAGACTTGTATGAATATATTGTATAGTATATGAGTATCATGTATGAAATTCAACATATTTATGGGATCTTGTTGTAACAACAAATTCTTATCTGCGATATAAACAAACAAGAAAAATTGAACAAAGATGATTTTATTGAATTAAAATAAATAAATTGCGGGTTACAATCTCTATTTTAATCCTCTGATTCTTCTCTCTAGAACAATATATAGTTGACTTGAATTTTCGGAGTCGGGTCGTTGACTTGATCTTCTCCGGATTTGATTTTGGATTTGAATAACGTTTTCCGAGGGTCTTGCGACTTGAATCTCGGATCGAACGTTGAACTTTGACTTGATTTGACTTGAAGATCTTGAAATTCTTGATGGATTTGGCCCTTCAATCTTCCAGTGATCTTGACTTGAATTGATTAACGTTAATTCGAAGGTTTGGCACCGTTATCTCGGATCGAACGCTAGATTTTGATGAAGAATGCCTTGAATTTGCTCAAGAACACTTTGAATGTAGACGAAGAACACTTTGAATGTAGAGAGAGAATCTTACCTCCTACGAATTCTTCTTCCTTGCTTCTTGAATTGTAGAGAGAATTTTGCTCCTACGGTTTCTGCTCCTTCAGTTGTGTTTTGAATTGTGAAGGGAGGGTCCCTATTTATAGTGGTAGAATAAGAGTCCTTGATGGGCCTTACTGATGACGTGGCGCGGTTTGATTGGCCCGATTTAAATTGATATTTATCTCTTGTAACTTGAGGGAGAAGAAATAATCCTATTGGTCAATATATATATTTAAAATCAATTATCTATTTAATTTAGGAATCAATATTAAATCCCTAGAATTAAAATAGAGAAATATTGATATACGCCACCTTTCATGGCATGCAATTTTGATTTGATTTATTTTCAAATATCTAATTACGGAACTGCGAATGAGTTTGCATGAAACTCCTTGCCCCCATAATTGCATAATTGCCCCTTTGTTTTGGATTAAATTTCACTCGTCTACAAATGCCCCCTCGCGACTTGTTCACGGACGATATATTTTGAAGTGAATAAGTCACGAATAATTGTTGACTCGATTCGTAAGTGTGCTTAGGCTTCATTGATATAGTCCATGGTACTTGATCAGTGGGGCTTAAAGTAGAACCATGATAATACGTATTAAACCCGATTTCTTCCTCAATCTGCTCGGCTCACTCAAAAAAAAATAATTCTTTTTCTTTTCCCTTTTGTTTAAAAAAAAAAAAAAAAAAAAAAAAAAAAAAAAGCCGACATGCACGGCTTATTTGCCAGGGTTTCGTAAGCTTATCATAGTCTGTCATTTTTTTATTATGCCAAGGCTATGTTTAATCATCCAATTTCTCAGTTTAAAATCAATTGGGGCCCACTTGGCAAATAAAATAAATTAAATCTTAGAGTCCAACGAGATTCCAATTATGCAGCATAGAAACAATAGACTTCTGAAATTTTACCGACTCTTCCTTTGGAATTTTAAGGCATAGTATGGATTTGAACTTCCACAGGATATTGACTCCTAATTGAGCTCTATCCAAAGTGTAACTCACCGAGTTGTATGCAACAAGTGAAATTTGTGCAAGTCTCTTCAACTGAGAACTTTTGACGACTATAATTTGGTCCTCCCCAAGAGAATCAAACTGAACACTCCTGCATCTAGTCGATTCATGACTCTTTGTAATTGGTTTACCATAATCCTAATATGAATTGGTTTGCTCTTATCCATGCTTATAAAAGGAGGGCACCCTTATTTGTTTTATTCATTCTTCAGCACCGAGTCTTTTACAAAAATTCTTCTCATCCAATCTTGTAGTTTCACCTTTTGCCACTGTTTTTTTTTTCTTCCCTTTTTTTTTTATTTCGGGTGAGCTTCGTATATTATTATGTATAATCCATCTATTTGATCATGCTCACCAAGTGTTCGATGATTTGATAATAAGAACTAATCCTTTTATTTTGACAATAGGAACCAATCCCTTTGGTCTTCTCTTCAAACTCGAGTTTTGTAGAATTTATTTGGTTCGATTTCAGGTTAGTTTTGCATATCAGATATCCGCATAATCAGCTTTCTTGAGTATGCCCCGCCAGGTGTTTGATAATATGACAATGAGAACTGCCTTTTTTTTTTTTTTTTTTTTTTCAAGTATTAACGTCAACGCTTTTGCATTAATATATTTCTTTTCTCCGTACAACTTTCCATCAGACTACAGAATCGCCGTTGATTTGGATTACAGTAGAACTTACATGAATCATAATTTCTGGAGAGAACGCAACTGAATTGAACAATTCTCTCGGTAAGTGAAACGATGACGTTTTATTTTTTGTTACTCTGGACATTTCGTCTTTCGCTCTGTTTTTACTCGGGCTTTGGTTTTTTGCATGTCGAACTAATCGCTCTTTCTTCGAACTGTTTTGATAGATTTTCCGATGGTTTATTTCAAGCAAGCTTTCTCCTCTTCCGGCGACGAGCAATTGGTAATTCTTGACGATCGTTACCAACCGAATGACAAAGGAACTGTCTTGACGATTTATGCCCCCCTTATCGGTTCTTACGCAAAGCAATGGCCACGTCTCACGACTCCGAATCGCATGTCCGTTTGGTCCCACGAGCATCCTCATAATAAGTACGAGTACGTGTATAGCTTGCGAGCATCAAATCATAAACCCGACAGATCCTTGCTTCCGGAAGAGTCAAGCGGTCCGAGCCTTCTGCCGACTTTGGGTGGCAACATCGTGGAGGGAAAAGTCAAGTGGGGAGATACTCTCGAGCTTTCCGGCGGCTTTCAATTCTTCAAAGGGTACTGGGAATGGACCGAAGACGTTCTCAGCCGTTGCCAGCACAAGCTAAAGTCTGCGAAGATCTACGATTCTGTATATGCTTCCCTTTTCACGTACGACTACAATTCCGAAATCATGA